CTCGCTCAGTCGCTTAGTGCCTGAGCTCGGATCATACCAATATCAGGGGGGATTCACGCACAGTCGTAAATTCCGACAGTGTGCACTATGTGCTTCGACTATTGTGTGTACTTTGTGTTTTAAACAGTTGTCAGCCAGGCATCTAACTATGAAAAAATTACACTCCAAAAGACCCCGGGCTTCTGACAAAACAACACGGGCTTAACCCCCACGCTCTGCCCCTGGTTGTGTGCACACCAAAATTGGACCTTATGTTTCAAATTTCACAGTTCAAACCCAGACTTATTAGACCAGGTAATGATTTCTAATCTTACTCCAGTTTTGGATGAACCAGTTCAAATTGTTTCTGTTCTTTGCTGACAGGAGTGGAAACTGATGTATTCCTCTGCTCCTGTAGCCCATCCACTTCAATGTACTTTTTCATGTTTGTCGGGCAGTATTTCCTCACTGGATCAAGATATTCACATTGTGTTGTTGCAGAGAATCCACCTGGCTACTGTCCCACTCAATGAACACGTTTCCTAAATATCATGTTTGCTGAAGATATTATGTCTTTATTTTAATCGAAAACCCTTCATAAATCCTGTTGGCAACAGCCAGTTTAAACAAAAATATTATAATTTCATTTAAAACACTTTATGTGGTGCTTAATTTAAAGGCTGTTCGTTGTTAATCTAAAAACAAATTCCTAGCATTTCTGTTGATATAATTCTATTCAGTGTTTTGAATTTGTTGATGGACTATTGCAGTGTTTATGGTGCGTATCATCTGTCTCTGGTGCATTGCAGACAACATCATTTATTGGATATTGGATGTGTGTAAATATACCTCTTACTGTAGAAATGAGTAATGCATCTTATTATTTTTATAATGTAATATAATCCAAGTAATATAATGTTCAAGAAAAGGTGCAATGGGTTCAAGGTGGGGACAGAATTACATCAGGGATCTAATGTATAGTGGTCTCTTATGTATATTTCCCTCATATAAAAACACAATTTCATTGTTAAAGCATTGCACAGTTTTGCACATTATTAATGTTGCCTGATGAAGTCATGGTATCGGTTCGAGGCATACTAAGTTTCTAAATGCATGGCGCAACATAAAAAAGCAATCTTGACAGGACAAGATTCAGCTGTACATCTCCACCTAAAGGATAAAGGTCATTCTTTCGACGATGCCAACCTTCCCATTTTGAACCGAAGAGACTGATTGTTTGAAAAAGGAGTAAGCGAGACCATCTATGCCCACTGTGAACAACCAACTTTGAACAGAGGGCATGGCCTACGACAACAACTGTCTGCCACGTGCAATGCAGACCCCTTCCCAGCTGCCTCAACCTCCTCTCACGTCTTGTATCAGGTGACCTCAATAATTTGTCAATCACTAGCCAGTGAGCATCCCTGAATTATTCTCCCTTTTGACTCTAATGTTCCTCTTGTCCTCCTGTACCAACCTACTGTTTTCTATCCATTTGTCTTCCTTGGTTTTCTCTCTGTCAGTGTGAGTGAATTAACTCTGCTTGCCTGTTTCACATGTGGATTTCCTGAAGGAGGCCCCGCCCTCCTGACTTACACACTTGGAAGCTGTTAGCAGTTAACTCATCTATGTGCAATTGGCATTTCCTGTCTGCTGTTTAACACTGAAGAAATATCTCATATAATGCCAGACAACTGAACTGTGATAGTGTGGTTAGCCTTGTCTTACTCTGTGGTTTTGCCTTGTTGTTTGGATCAGTATTAGAACTTGGACCCACCTTTTCCCCCTCTGCACAGATGCTTCTAGTCTAGTGGAGAAAAAGATCTGTAGATTTCCCATCCTGCCCCTCATTCCCAAACACTCCACACCCGTTTAATCAACATGTTTTCCTTCATTTCCTACAGTAAACCTGTTGAACTTTTAATGTGTGTCCAGCATTTGAGTCCAGCCTTGAGACTTTGCCTTGGCATAACTTAGTTTTAAAAAATTACAGTCATGTTATTTTCAATAAAACTTAAAATTAGTGACAGTAGATTATTATTTTTTGAAGTACAACTAAGGAGGATTTCAACATATGCAGCAGTGGACTTCAAGAAATCTCTAAGCAAGGGCAAGCCTAAATTAAATATAGATTAAATGTCAGTGGTGAATGGTGATCTTCCTAGTGCAAGTTTCCTAAGATTACAGCCAAAAATGCAACTTTAAACTCTGTCATGAAAGAAACAAACAAATAAATTATTGATATAGGTTGTGGATGTGTGCATAAAGTTTAGGTTCTTTGAATAAAATGTGTTTCTAATTAATCAAAGTTGAATTTTGTTTTCAGATGTACATGTTGGTTTTTTAATATTTGCCATCTTCATTAGTCATGAAGATTTCAAAACTGATTGCTGAAAGAAAGTTGA